TGATAAATGCTCATGGCTTGCTGTCAAGATGGATTTGTGAGTGCTATTTTGAGGCAATCCATTTTTTCCAAACATAAAGCAATGATTGATAAAGTAAGGAAAATAGAAAACCAAACTGACATAAATGGGGCTCAAAAAAGATAAACATTTACGTATCTCAGGTAATAGAACACAAAGCAATGAGTGGGGCTATGGCTGCAAACCTGCATGTAAAGCAGCTGAGGTTTTGGCTTCCTTGAGCTAATGAGGAGGTGTCATTGGAATTGGGCTCCTTGTTGGAAACCACGGGTCAGGATAGGTAGTGTTTCCTCTGTTGAAAAACATATTTCTGAGATTAGTTCTAGGGCTGCCATATTGTACATCTTTAGAGATCAGACTGTAGTTAGGCAGTGTGTCTCTTGCAGTAGTGCAGGGCAGAGCCTGCTTGACTGTAAGGAGTAGTTTTGCTGCTGACTGCTGCCGTAGGCCACAGTATATGAAACCTATACCTAAGGATTCAGGAGGACACAAACATGGCTTTACAACTAGGAACCTGCCAGCTCAGAGCATATCTTCACTGTTACTGCATGACAGATCTCCTGATTTGAATGGATCAACTGTAAGAAAAATATTTATAAGATAATTGGGGAAATTGGACACTGACCAGTAATACTAAAAATTCTTAGTTTTTCAAGATGCAATTAATGGTATTGCAATTATTTTACAAAAAAGTAGGAAATAGTAGGTTCTTGATAAATGTATGAAAAACAAAAAAATATCTTCCATCAAAAAGTGCACCTGGGTGCCAGCCCAGTGGCATAGTGGTTAAGTTCATGTTCTCGGCTTCTGCAGCCTGGGGTTTATGAGTTCGGATCCCAGGATTGGACTGACACACTGCTTGTCAAGCCATGCGGTGGTGGCATCTTACATATAAAATAGAGGAAGATTGGCACAGATGTTAGCTCAGGACAGTCTTCCTCAAGCAAAAAGAGGAAGACTGGCAACGGGTGTTAGCTCAGGGCCAATCTTCCTCACCAAAAAAAAAAAAAAGTGCACCTGTAAATGTAAATTCTGAAACAAATTAGGCCATCTAATTCTGAGAAAGATATGAAAGCAATCAGAAGAGCAGTTCACTCTGGATGACATCATAATGTTAGTCTGAAAAATATCAAATTATATATTTAGGATTTTCAAGGAGATAAGTGAAGGAGTAGTATCCCTTAAATTAAAACAATTATGAAATTTAAATCGGTAGAAAAAAGAACTGGTGGATATGAAAATGACAAAACTTAGAAGTGAAAAATAGTGTAATTTAAAAACAACAACAACGTGGAATTCACAAATGGGGAGTCAATAGGATGTCAGATTTTTCCAGTATTAATCTTTCAAATCAATGCAGTGTCTATCAAAATGCCGAAAGGTTTTTTCATGAGAATTGACGTGCTGATCATAAGATTCTCGTAGTAGAGTAAATGGCTAGAGTAACATTAAAGAAACAAATTGAGATTCAAAAATTATAGAGCTATAATAATTAAGACAGGCTCAGGGATAGACAGACAGATTAGTGGAACAGAATACAGAGCCCAGAACAGATTGATATTTATATGGAATTTGCCACATGATGAATATAGCATTATAAATCAGTTGGGAAAGATTAGGTTCTTCATTGTGGTGCTGGTTCAATTACTGATCTGAATTGATGTGAAAATAGTTGAGAGCCATGTCTCACAGCATACATGAAAATAAATTTTATATTTATTAAAAAGATGTAAATGAGAAAAGCAAAACTTAGGCCTTTTAGAAGAAAATGTAGGATAATAACTTTATGTCCTCAAGATAAGGAAGGATTTTTAAAAACTGTACCAGGAGGTAATACTTACAGAGCCATTAGAACCAGATTGCCTACTTCAAATCAAAACTTTCTCACATTCTAGTTATGACTTTGGGCAAGTTACATAATCTTTTTGTGTTTTCTCATTTGTAAAATGAGGAGGAGGATGATAAAAACAGCCTGTAAGAAGGAATTGTGAGGATTAAATTAAATAATCCATGTGAAATGCTTAGAAAAATGACAGTACAAATAAACACACAATAAGAGTTAACTCCACTTGTTGTTAATGTTGTTTATTAAAAAAGAAATAATTTATAACCTTTAAAGGATTGATAAATTTGACTACTAGAAATAAAATCTTCGAAAGCTGACCCCGTGGCTGAGTGGTTAAGTTCGAGTGCTCCACTTCGGCGGCCCAGGGTTTCGCCAGTTCGGATCCTGGGCGTGGACATGGCACCGCTCATCAAGCCATGCTGTGGTGGCATCCCACATGCCACAACTAGAAAGACCCACAACTGAAAATATATAACTGTGTACTGGGGGCACTTTGGGGAGAAAAAAAAATCTAAAAGAAAAAAAAAAAACCCTTAAAAAAAAAAAAGAGAAAAACTTCTCTATAACAAAGGGCAATGTAAACAAAATAGAAAGATAAGCCACTGATTGGTAGGTGATGTTTGTCACACATTCAACTGAAAATTGATGAATATCCAGGATATATGAAAAACTCATTCAAACCAATTAGGAAAAGACAACTCAAAAAGGGAAAATGAATAAGCAACTTAGCCCAAATGGCAAATAAGAGTTGCTTATCCTCACTAGTAATCAGGTAAATGCAAATTAAAGTAATAAGATAGCTTTTTACACTTATAGAGGCAGAAAATCAAGTCTGACAATACTAACTTTTGGTAAGGAGGCAGAGAAATGTGAGCTCTTGTTATACTGACTGAAATAATCAGTTGGTACACCTATTTTGGAGGACATTTTGTTAATGTCTAGTAAATTTTTTTTTTTTTTGCTTTTTCTCCCCAAATCCTCCCAGTACATAGTTGTATATTTTTTAGTTGTGGGTTCTTCTAGTTGTGGCACGTGGGACTGACTCAGTGTGGCCTGACGAGTGGTACCATGCCTGTGCCCAGGATCTGAACCAGTGAAACCCTGGGTCGCTGAATTGGAGTGCGTGAACTTAACTACTTGGCCACAGGGCCAGCTCGGCCCCATCTAGTAAATTTGAAGAGGCTTAAAGCCCAGCAATTCCCCTCCTAGGTGTAAAGCTCAGAGAAATTCTAGCAAAGGCACCTGAAGAGACATGTGTTAGAATTACGGCATTGTTTTAATAGTGTTCTATTGGAAACATTCTAGGTGTTCAGTAGAAGGACAGTAGATTGATAAATTGTGGTATAATCATACAAAGGGATTTAAAAAATAAATCCTGTATTTTTTAGAGCATTTTTAGGTTCACAGCAAAATTGAGTGGAAGGTACAGAGACTTGCCATATACTCCCTGCCGGCCCCCACCACATGCATAGCCACCCCTGTTATCAACATCCCCCACCAGAGTGGTGCATTTGTTACGATTAATGAATCTACATACAATGACATATTATAAGTTAATGAACTTTCCATACATCACCATTTATACATAGAAAAGACAATATTAAGTTAAAGTGAGATGCAGACTATTAAATATAGTATGATACCATTTTTTTTAAAGCTTACAAAACTGAAACTGTACTATATATAGTTTAGGGAGACCCACATATATAATAAAAATATAAAAACATGTATGGGAATAATACCAGCCTCAGGATAGTGATTACCTCTGCAGAGCAATGGAAGAAGCTTTAACTATATCTCTGATATTTTTTATTTGATTTTAAAATGATCTGGGGGAATTATAGCAGTTTTCAAACTTGTTGAATTTGGATGATAGATATATGGCTGCTTTTTATATGTTCTGTAATATTCTCTGTGTTTAAAACGTCATCTAGGAAAAAGATGAAAAACAAAGTTTCTTCATTAGAGGACTTTGACAAATATGTAATAGTATGAGAGAGAAGTAAATGAAGGTATTTTTCTTTTTTTTTTAATAACAGCATCTTTGTATGTTAAAGGATGAAATTAGTAAAAAGGGAAAGATTGCTAACTCATGACGGTGGTTTTTCGATGGGGCAGGTTACTGATGGAGATGATAAGAAATGGGTTTTATTAGCCCTGGAAAGGATGTGGGACATATTTTCTCTCTTGACAGGAATGGAAGAACAGAGATGAGATGAAAATAGGAATACATTTTGAGTTGGAGAAGTCATTTAAAGGAAGTTACTATTTTCTCAGTGAGGTATAAAAGTTGAAATCATTCTTCTAGATGTGTGGTATGTGAGGTTTGAGAAGATTCGAAGAATATGCAGAATACTGTAAGGAATGAAATAAGGTTAGATAAAAAGGTGGGATTGAAGGACAAGGGAAGGTTGAATAAAATTTATAATGGTGCCTAGTTTATGATTTTGTCAGCTTTGTTCAGCAAGCCGGGGGCAGGATCTTTTTGTTGCCTCCCTTACCTCTTCACCTTGGGGAAAGTGGAGAGTGAGAGCCAGAAGTCCTTGAAAATATGTCTGTTCTTTGGCAGGTTTCTCTCATTGTTATCTTAGTTATAACTTCAACTAGTTTAATTTCTGTTTATCTGATCTCATCTTCTTACTGTTTTTAATTTCACAAAATTTTTACTCCATTGGTGGCATTCTTTCTTGATTTTTTTAAGTATGAGAGCTTTTGGGTCCAGGGTGATTAGATTTGTGTGTTTATTCTGTCCATCTTAATCCAGTCTTCACTGAGGCTCTTTAAATATAAAAAAAGAACTTGATTATGATCCCAAGTACTTTTAGAAACATTTGAGATAGTAGGGGGCAAAATAAATTCTTTGTACTCTTTGGATTTTGAATTGTTAATAAAACATTGAAAAAATTTTTTGGTAAGTTGCTATTTTAGAAGGTTTTCAGATCTGCACAATAAAATGTAATGCTACGTGGTCTCAATGAGACTGTTTTCAAGACTGTTCCTATACTGAGAGAAGAGTTAGGATTTTGTGTTCTAAAAGATGTAATCAACATGATTGTTAAGCCTGCCTTTCTTGAGCATCGGAAAGCAATGATTGTCTAATATGACTTCTAAATGTTTCACATCTTTTATATTACAGTTCTTTTGCCACGAAAATGGTTTGCACAGTCTTGAACACGTACTATCCATGCTGATGGGACAGGATCCAATATGAATATAAATGATGGAGGAAGACGACGCTTTGAGGATAATGAACATACATTACGTATATATCCTGGGACAATTTCAGAAGGGACAATCTACTGTCCAATTCCTGCCAGAAAAAACTCCACAGCTGCTGAGGTGATTGAATCTCTCATAAACAGGCTTAATCTTGACAAAACAAAATGTTACGTACTAGCAGAAGTAAAGGAATTTGGTGGAGAAGAATGGATACTCAATCCAACAGACTGTCCAGTTCAGCGAATGATGTTGTGGCCCCGAATGGCTCTGGAAAATCGCCTGAGTGGAGAGGACTACCGCTTTCTTCTGAGAGAAAAAAACCTTGATGGATCAATCCATTATGGTAGTCTTCAGTCATGGCTCCGGGTAACAGAAGAACGTCGCAGGATGATGGAACGGGGTTTTCTTCCACAGCCTCAACAGAAAGACTTTGATGATTTATGTAGTTTACCTGATTTGAATGAGAAAACTCTCTTAGAAAATCTACGAAATCGCTTTAAGCATGAAAAAATTTATACGTATGTTGGCAGTATTCTAATAGTTATTAACCCATTCAAGTTTCTTCCTATTTATAACCCCAAATATGTCAAAATGTATGATAACCACCAACTGGGAAAACTTGAGCCGCACATTTATGCTGTGGCTGATGTAGCTTATCATGCTATGCTTCAGCGCAAAAAGAATCAGTGTATTGTGATTTCTGGAGAGAGTGGTTCCGGGAAGACTCAAAGCACAAACTTTCTTATTCATCACCTTACTGCTCTCAGTCAGAAAGGATTTGCCAGTGGTGTAGAACAGATTATTCTTGGAGCTGGACCAGTACTTGAGGTAAGTGTGTAGAAATAGTTTTCTTACTCTTAAACATATCTTAAAAAATTAAAATTTGGTAGATGTGAGAAAATGAAACTCAACAGAGGTATAGGCATCATTTTTAGTTATCAAGGAAAACCAGAAGATGGGAAAGCAGAAAAGGCAATGTGGAAGATTGAGTGTGACAGTGGCAATATTTTTTTCAAAGGATGTCTTTGGGTCATAGTGATGCAAAAGAAAGATCATTGGAGTCATATGTATACCCTTGTAAAGGGGGATATACCAGGGGCAAGACTCCCAGTAACCGGGTTGTGGAAGTAGGTGGTTGGGGAAAATATTCTTGTCAGTATGTTTCTGTCTTTGCAAACTTAACATTTGTGTCTAGCGTAGAAATTCCAAGGGTTCACTTTTGAAAATGTGTAAAATATGGGAAAAATTTTTAGTTTTGTAATGTTTTAGAAGTAGTACTATCAAGGGTAACAAGGAAAGAGAATGTATTATTTTTGTTTTAGAGCTGAAAGAGAAAGGTAATATTTCTTAGTATTTTGTTTGAGAGATTTTTGTGAGGTATAATTGAGCTATAGTAAATTGCACATATTTAAAGTGTATAATTTGATAAATTTTGACCTTTATAAATACTCATTATAAACCACTACCAAAGTCGAGATACTGAACATATCTTTTATTCCAGAAGTTTCCTCATATCTCTTTGTAATCCCTCTCTCACACGCCTTCCAGCCCACTCATCTACAAGAAACCACTTAAGTGTTTTCTGTCACTATAGATTAGTTTTTTTCCCTACAATTTTGTATAAATGGAATCATATAGTATATACTCTTTTATGTTTGACTTCTCTCACTCAGTATAATTATTTTGAGATTCATCCATGTTGTGTGTGTCAATAATTCATTCCTTTTGCTAAGATAGTATCCATTGTATGGGTATACCACTCTTTGTCCATTCACCTGTTGATGGACATTTGGGTTGTTCCAGTTTGGGGCTGTTACACTTAAAGCTGTATGTAAGTCTTTGTGTAGATGTACACTTTCTTTTTTCTTGGGTAAATACCTAGCAGTGGAATTTTTTCCTAGGTGAAAAGTGTATGTTTAACTTTTTAAGAAACTCCCAAACTTTCCAAAGTGATCGTACATGCCATTTTATATTTCCACCAAGCAGTGTATAACAGTTCCATTTACTCCATATCCTTGCTAACCCTCAGTATAGTCACTCTTTTTAATTTTAGCCTTTCTAATAAGTATATGGTGGTATCTCATTGTGGTTTTAATTCTATAGTGACTAATGACGTGAACACCTTTTCACGTGTTTATTTGTCGTCATTATATCTGCTTTGGCTAAGTGTCTGTCAGAATCTGTTGCTAAACTTGTTACTGGGTTTTCTTATTGTTGCATTTTGAGAGTTCTTTGTGTATGCTGGGTGCAAATCCTTTATCACATACATATTTTGCACACATTTTCTCCCAGATTTAACCCTCTCTTAGTAATACCTTTTGAAGAGCAGAATTAAAAAATTTTCTCGAGATATAATTGATGTATAACATTGTATTAGTTTAAGGCATACAACATAATGGTTTAATATATGTTTATATTGTGAAATGATTACCACAATAAGTTTATTCAACATCCATCACTTGATAGAATTACAAATTTTTTTTCTTGAGATGAGAACTTTTAAGATTTACTGTCTCAGTAACTTTCAAATATATAATACAGTACTTTTTTTTTTTTTAAAGATTGGCACCTGAGCTGACATCTCTTGCCAGTCTTCTTTTTTTCTTCTTCTCCCCAAAGCCCCTAGTACATAGTTGTTTATTCTAGTTGTAGGTCCTTCTGGTTGTGCTATGTGGGATGCCGCCTCAGCATGGCTTACTGGGTGATGCCATGTGTGCACCCAGGATCCAAACTGGCGAAACCCTGGGCCTCCGAAGCAGAGCATGTGAACTTAACCACTTGGCCACGGAGCCGGCCCCCTATAATATAGTACTGTAGTCATCATACTGCACGTTACATCCCCAGAACTTATTTATCTTATTAACTGAAAGTTTATACCTTTTGATCACCTTCACCTGTTCCCCCCTCCTGCAACCACCAATCTTCTCTCTGTTTCTGTGAGTTCAATTTTTTTAGATTCCACATATAAGTGAGATTGTATAGTATTTATCTTTCTCTGTCTGACTTATCTCACTTAGCATAATGCCCTCAAGGTCTATCCATGTTGTCTCAAATGGCAAGATTTCCATCTTTTTTATGACTGAATAATATTCCATTTTAGATACATACCACATCGTTTTCATTTCTTCATCTGTCAACGGACACTTAGGTCTCCATATCTTAGCTATTATGAATAATGCTGCAGTGAACATGGGAGGTGCAGAAATCTCTTTGAGATAGTGATTTCATTTCCTTCAGATAGATATTCAGAGTGGAACTGCTGGATTGTATGATCTGTTTTTTAATTTTTTGAGGAACCTCCATTCTGTTTTTCATAGTGGCTGTGCCGATTTACATTCCCACCAACAGTGCACAAGCGTTCCCTTTTTTTTACATCCTTGCTAACAATTTTTTTTTTTGTCTTTTGGATGAAAGCCATTCTAGCAGGTGCGAGGTTATATCTCACTGTGGTTTTAATTTGCATCTCCCTGATGATTAGTGATGTTGAGTACCTTTCCATGCACCTCTTGGCCATCTGTAGGTCTTTTATGGAAAAATGTCTATTCAGTTCCTCTGCCCATTTTGTAATCAGGTTGTTTGTTTTTTTGCTATTGACTTGTATGAATTCTTTATATATTTTGGATGTTAACCCCTTATGAGTTATATGATTTGTAAATATTTTTTCTCATTTGTTAGGTTGCCTTTTCATTTTATTGATGATTCCTTTGCTGTGCAGAAGCTTTTTAGGTTGATGTAGTGCCACTTGTTTATTTTGCTTTTGTTGCCATTGCTTTTGGTGTCAAATCTGAAAAATCCAAGACTGATATCGTACCCCCTGAGTTTTCTTCTAGGAGTTTTATGGTTTCAGATCTTACATTCAAGACTTTAATCCATTTGAGTTGATTTTTTTTGTGTGTGGTGTAAGATAGAAGTCCAGTTTCCATCTTTTGCCTGTGACTGCCCAGTTTTCCCAGCACCATTTATTGAAAAGACTGTCCTTTCCCCATTGTGTATTCTTGGCTCCTTTGCGTCAAATAATTGACCATATATGCATGGGTTTATTTCTGGGTGCTCCATTTTTTTTCATTGATTATATGTATGTTTTCATGCTAATACCATACTGTTTTGATTACTGTTGATTTTTATTATAGTTTGAAATCAGAAGTGTGATGCCTCCAGCTTTGTTCATCTTTCTCAAGATTGCTTTGGCTATTTGGGGTCTTTTGTGGCTCCATACAAATTTTAGGATTGTTTTTTCTGTTTCTGTGAAAAATGCCATTTTGATAGGAATTGCATTAAATCTGTAGATTCCTTTGGATAGTATGGAGATTTTAACAATATTAATTCTTGCAATCCTTGAGGACAGAATATCTTTCCATATATTTGTCTTGTTCAGTTTCTTTCATTAATGTCTTATAGTTTTCACTGTATATCTTTCATCTTTTACTTCTTGGTGAAATTTCTCCCAGATTTAACCCTCTGTTAAAAGTACCTTTTGAAGGGCAGAATTTAATTTTTTTTTCTTTTTTTGTGAGGAAGATTTTTCTTCTTTTTGCTTGAGGAAGATTGCCGCTAAGCTTTACCAGTCTTTACATCTTTACCAGTCTTTCTCTGTTTTGTATGTGAGATGCCACCACAGCATGGCTTGATGACCGATGTGTATGTCCACGCCTGGGATCTGAACCTGTGAACTTTGGGCCTCTGAAGCCAAGCACATGAACTTAACCACTATGCCACTGGGCCTGCCCCAGAATTTTAAATTTTGATGAAGTTCATTTTAGCCATTTTTTTCTTTTATGAATTGTGCTTTTGGTGTCATATTTAAGAAAATTTGCCTAACCCATCGTTGCAAAGATTTTCTCCTATGTTTTTTTCCATTGCTTTTATTATTTCAGATTTTGCATTTAGGTCTGTGATACATTTTGAGTTCGTTTTTGTATATGGTGGGAGGTATAGATCAAATGTTTACCTATAAATATCCACTTTTTACAGCACCTTTTGTTGAAAGACTGTACTGTCTTCACCTTGTTGCCTTGATGTCTTTGTTAAAAAATCATCAAAAAATTATTTGTCCATATATATGTGGGCTCATTTCTGGATTCTGTCTTCTGTTTAATTGATCTGTTTGTCTGTCTTTATGGCAATGCCACATTATTTTCATTATGTAGCTTTATAATTTTGAAGTTAGGTAGTATTGACCCTCCAGTTTTGTTCTTCTTTTGCAGAGTTGTTTGGGTATTCTAAGTTCTTGGCATCTCCGTATGAATTTTAGAACTAGATTGTCAGTTTTCTTATAAAAGCTTTTTGGGACTTTGATTGGGACAGTGTTGAATCTGTAGTTCAATTTGGGGAGAATTGACGTGGTAACAATATTAAGTCATCTGACCCATAACCAAATTTATTTCTTCATTTATTAAGATCTTTAATTTCTCTCAGCAGTATTTTTTTGTTTTTAATGTACAGATCTTTCACATCTTTGGTAAGATGTATCTCAGTATTTTTTTGATTCCTTTATAAGTGGTGGTTAAAAATTTTCGTTTGTTCCTAGAGTATAAAAACAGTTGATATTGGTATATTGATTTTGTATTTTACAACCTGGCTAGATGCAAATATTAGTTCTGATAGTTTTTTTTGTGGTTTCCATTGGCTTTTCCATATAGGAAATTATGTTTGTGAATAAAAAGACAGTTTTATTTCCTTCTTTCCAATATGGAATTCTTTTTTTCCTTGCAGGTTTCACTGGCTACTCCAGTATAATGTTGAATAGAAGTGGTGAAAGCAACATCCTTGTACTGGGGGAAAGCATTCAGTCTTTAAACATTAAGTGTGATGGTAGCTGTTGGTTTTGC